GACTGAGGAAGTCTCTCGGATGAGAGACGAAACGTTTCTACATTTTTTTTGTTGTTTTGCTTTGTTTTTTTTTGTTTTTTTTGAATGCCCAGAGGACCAGATTTAACTTTTTTAGATTTTTCTACCTGGATTATTGAGCATGCATCAGGATATTAAGTGAGAAACGTTTCGTACCCCATCCAGAGGACTTCGTCAGTCTGTGGCCTGCTGACCAGATCTGTCCCATAGGTAGCCTTCACTGCTGTGTTTCAAGCCAACCTCCTGTTGGAATTGCACGTGCAAAACACACCCAACCAAAACAATCAATAATCATGAACAACAATCAAATGTTTTAGGCCAGATGGTCAACTGGATAGAAACAGCCTGAGGACAACCAAGGCCAAAGTGGTTCAGAAAAAAGGTTGTAAGCTCAATCATCCAGGCATGGATCCAGGCATCAAAGCATGTTAGAAGCCTTTTAAATTTTTTTTTTACACAGGCTCACTCATGCACATGACGTTTTGTGTTATGCTCAAAGACTTCTTGACATTTGAACTGGTGAACCCTAATTTTACTGATCCAACAACTTTTAAAGACTCCACCCATTGATCTACCATGATCTCTAAAGGATTTTAAACAAGTACTCTATATAAGCAAAGCAAATTGTAATCCTTTGGTTAAGGTTGTTTGAGTATTGTGATGATTGGAGAGCTGATGGTTTGATCCCATCCAGACCAAATGTCCTTGGAAAGAAACAGAATCTCATCAATATTTGAATGCATCTGATTCAAAATGCTTTGTATAGGAATAAACTAGAGATACATTCCATTAGAAAAACCTGTTTTTTAAGATTTTTTTTGTACACAGCCTCCTAAAAAAACAAAACGAATCACATTTTGTCCCCACCAGCAATAGCTGAAAATTGTATTTCCATTTTAGTTGTCTGCTTGTGCACTCTGTTTAATTTGTGCATTGAAAAGCTCAAGTGCAAATCTTTTATAGCAGATGTTTGAAGTGAACATGAGATTTTGAGCCTCTCCTTTCTTGACCTTGGTACTTGGAATTAATGTGAAGTGATTATCCTGTGCATTGTCAGCCCACATCACCTGTCTCCAAGACGTGGCTGTCTTCTTGCACACGGATCCACTTTAAAGGCCAGAGGAAGCCATTAGACAGGATCCCTGTTGGAAGTGGAAGTCATGTCTAACATTTTTGGCTCCGTTTTAGGACACTTCCATTGGCAAGCATCGACAAGTTTATGAACTTCCTTCGACTGTCAAATAAACCAAGAGTATCATGTGTTTAGATGTGTAAATTATTATGTGTTTATAATTCTGATGGTGTCATACGAGAGTTGCTACCTTTAACTCCCTTGCAGCACTGCAACCTGAAACCTCTCACATCAAAGCTTACACACATGCGCGTACACGCACATTTGTCACAGTCCGATTCACACGCAGTCATCCAGTATTCCTTGCTGAAGTGCACCTTGGAAAACATCTGACAGTTATAGCTTAACGCCATAAATATAGAAAGGGATACACCAAAGCAAACCTATTAAAGAGGAAACATAGACATCATATCCGTCACATGCTGCTCCTCTGACATGATGCCAGCATTTTCCATTTGGAAACAAATGTGACTCACTTATACCCCCTCAATATATGAATCATAAAATGTGCATCTAAACAGACTCCAAATGTCATTGTAATAATTAAAGAGGTAGCAGCAGCTACATTTAAGAATCCCCCAATCCTGTAGTGGGGGGTATTCCTTTGCCTCTACCATTTTTATATATCCCTCTTTTTCTAACACCGGTCTTTATTTTTAGTGGCAGTTACGCAATGAAATAAAATGGGGGAAGGTGGTGAATGGGGTAGACTGGTTGTTACAGTTGAATAACTGGGTCATTTAGAGATGATGGTGCTTCTTATCTCTCCAGTCCATCGCTGCTTGTTCACTAGTAACTGCTCAGCTTTTCAGATTTTGTTCACTGCTCAGCTATACTTGTGTCGTCATCTTTTCATCCTTTTGTTTAGCATCATTAGTAGAAGCTGTAATTATCTCCAAGTAGATATACCATTCCAACAAAGTTAAGTCAGGTCATCTGGACAGAAGGGGGATGACGGGGGAGAGGGCAGGCTCCAGAAACCATCTTATTACCATCAAACTGGTTGGCCCACTATGTGAGTGTGCTGCTTGTGGGACTGAGTGTGGCTCCTCAGACTGACGAAGTCCTTTGGATGAAGGATGAAACGTTTCAACAACAAACAAACAAAAAAAACACATCCAGATGACCTGACTTAACTTTGTTGGATGTTTTACCTGGATTATAGCGCATGAACTGTGATGATAGATATACCAAATGTTCTCCAAATCAACCAGTAAAACATGTTCTAAATATATTTTGTTTATGTTATGTTTACAATAATGTCTGTTTATGTTAAAATGGCTTAAATGCAAAGTTTTAACTAAACAGATAAATCTTTGTTTCTTGTTTAGAAACATGTTTGGTAATGTCCACTCAGGTGACTTTGTTTCTGATGAATATTTTTTTCTTTCATTCAACCTTTGTTTAGACAGGTAAATCCCATTGAGCCTCGAGGACTCATTTACAAGAGAGACCTGATTTCAACAAAGAATGATGACAACAATGGACAACAGCGACAACAGTAGACAGTTATAAAAAGGCATACAGATTTTTTAATTTTTATTTTTTTAATGAATAGGATGGCTAAAAAAAAGAAAAGTAATAAAAACCAGCTAGATTCTAAGGCGAATGTAGAAAACTAAAAACAGGAACATGTCTGCATTGGTCCCTGCTGGGAGTCCAACAGATTCTTAAAGCCACTTAGAGAGGACAAGGTCGAGAGCTTCAGATCTTTTTGTAAAATATTCCAGGAATCAGGAGCGGAGTAGAAGGCCCTTTTGCCAAGTTCAGTCCGCACTGAAGGTATAGAGTATAGCAGGTTAACAGCAACAATGTTAAACAATGTCACCTGTGTCATCTTTAAGTGAGAAACATTTCGTCCTACATCCACAGGACTTTGCCAGTCTGTGGCCTGCCAACCAGATCTGTCCCATAGGTAGCCAGTATAGCAGATTCTTCATTTCACTTCCTTCCACTACACACAATTCATCAAATAGAGATGCTTCTTTTTTGCTCGCTATTTATTCTGTAAAAACATATTGTGAACTCTAATGGATCATGGGTAGCACGGTGGCACAGTTGGTAGAGCTGCAGCCTCTCAGTGAGCAGGTTGCCCCAGTTCAAATCCCAATCCGGGGACTTTCTTTGTGGAGTTTGGATGTTCTCTTTGTGCATGCATGTTTTTTTTTCCAGGTTCTCCAGTTTCCTCCCACAGACCAAAAAACCTGCAAGTTAGGCTGATTGGTAACTCTAAATTGTCTCTAGGTGTGAGTGAGAGAGTGAATGGTTGTTTGTCTCATTTGTCTCTATGTGTCCCTGTGATGGACTGGAGACCTGTCTAGGGTGTCCCCCGCCTCTCGCACAGTGATGGCTGGATTGGGCACCAGTGACCCCCGTGACCCAGAAACGAAGAAGTGGGTAAAATAATGGATCATCTGATACATTTGATTTTGGTATTAAATTAACAGAGTGGAAAACTGGAATAGGGCTTAAGGTTTTCTAAGTCTATCCTCATTTTTGTTCACAACTAAGGATCTCGTTCCTTCAGCAGATGTCACATCAACAAAACGAGGCATATTTTGTCAACTGTAAATTTTATCTCTCCTTATTATCAAGTTTTCATGTAACATTCTCATTCTTAAAATACATTTTATTGGTCTGATTTAAGTTTGTGTTCCATTACCATTTAAAAAACAAAACCCATTTTGAATTAGTATTTTTGATGGCTCTTTAAAAAAGTGACAAAACAAAAAAAGAGATGAAACAGTTTTGTGCTTTTTTTTTTTTTTTTAGGTGAAGACGTCAAATAAAATTCTGTTCAAGCCTTCATAGTTTTGTGTGGATCACCATCTTTGTCTTTAGTTTGGAAAGTTATTTGCTTTCGGTTAACAATGATCCACCATTCTCTGTTTAAGCTGCAAATGATTGAAAATGCAGAAATATGATGGCATTTGTTTAATTTATCTGCCACAATGCATTGGACTAACACAGCAGAACATCACATGAATGTAATCAAGCTCCCCAGCATCAATAATGGATGACTAAATCAACAGGGTCAGTAGGCTTCTTTTATGAAATGGCTGAATGATAGAACGGATCACTGGGGAGGAACCATTCACATCAGCACGCTGGTCAGCTGTTGCAGAGAAGATTAGGGCTGTTGGTGGGGACAATGAGATGAGAGTAGTTTGGCTGGAGAGGATTGTTGCTTTTTCCAAAAAAATGGAAAAAGATGTAGTTTATTGTTAAGATATTTTCCAGTTTTCCTGCCCCAATCAAGAAAAAAAACATTTGTTGGTTATCTATCTATCTATCTATCTATCTATCTATCTATCTATCTATCTATCTATCTATCTATCTATCTATCTATCTATCTATCTATCTATCTATCTATC